GAGACACAGTCTGCACCACCCCTAACCGCAGGGGTGGGGGGACCATGGAACCTGCCACCTGCCTGGCCCAGGCTCCAGGCACAGGTCAACGGCAGGATCACTCTCCTAACAGCGACCCTGGTTACTCTGTTGGTTTGCTCGCTGCACCTCTTCATGCTTACAAAACGCATCATGACAGTTGCTACAAGAAGTCAGCCAGTCTCTCTCTGTGAGGTGCATCCAGGCCCCAAACTAAACCACCCCCAAATCTCGACTTAACCAGGTGGTCGTCAGTGGTAGCTGCATGACAGGAAAAAGCAGCCACAGTGCTTTGTAGCAACAGTAACAGACCCACAAACTGGGCTAAATGCCCTTGATCCACACTGACTGGTTATTCTCCTCCATTCTGTTTCCCAGGTGTGGGGCAGCACTCGCACAGCACTCACGCAGCAGAGGGAACCTGGCCCAAGGGCACACAGTTTCTCAGATTAACACAGCCACATTGCTCAGCAGGATATGGGCTCTGAAAGCCACAGCTCCCTTATTTGAAAACTGGGGTACATTCAGCATTCTGAGGTAGGAGTGTTAGCTTCCTCTCCGTCCCTCTCCCCAATGTCAGGTGAGCTCCCAACTACTACAGTGAGTAAGAACCCATTTTCTTTACACAACTATGCATCACTTACTGGCACAACAAGGCCAAGTAATAAGGAGCGAATTTTGCATAATTTTTATAACATAATTAAGACCTCTCCCCAAGTTCAAGAAAAGGCCTGCAATCCTAAAGAGAAGCAAGACCCCAATTCAGATAATACTGAATAAACATAATTCACATTTAAGAAATAAAAGATTAAAAACAGATGGAAGCCAGATGACACATCTAAGGGGCACATGTCTATAGATGGTTCCTGCTGGGAGGTGAAGCTATGGAGACATCTCTGACGAACCATGAGAAACTTGAAGGTGCAATATAAAGAAAGAAGGTACACACAGGACTAAGAAAATACGCAACCCTGTGCTCCCAGGTCCCACACACAGCCCAGGGGCAGGAAGTCTTCAGACAGGGTCACACTTACCAGCAAAACGGTCGGTAGCCAGAAAGTCCGTCCTGAGGCCGCCTCCGTCAGCCTGCCAGCTTTTGCTGGTATGGGATAGGAAGTGGGAGAGAAGAGAGAGGAAACCAGAGAAAAGTTACTTATCTACATTTTACAACCCAGATCTTTTTACCTCCCAATCAGAAAAGGTCAAGATATTACTTATGTTTTGGTTACACCAATATTCAGGCAAGTTTCTCAGAAGAAAAAAAACCATTAGCTTGAAACAAAACATATTACAATAAAACCTGAACCAGCTCCACCTTGCAGAGGACAACTATTCCAGGGACCTGAGGGAGTGATCCTCTAAGTGCCAAACTTCTAAACTTAACCATTTGGAAGTAAAATCCTCACAAAACCATTGGTGTTCTCCTGCATGGTTGCATCACCTTTCCTGTACCCAACACAACCCCTAGACGGCTGAACCAGAAGGGTTGTTGTGCTGGGCTCTGACCTACAACACAATGCGGACCTCAGGGGCTCTGCAGCGCTTATGGTGACCAAGAGCTACTGTCTTCAAGAATTCTCTGTATATTTTGCAGTTACTTTGTTCTTCTTGCTGTTATCCTGTAAAAGTCCTTCAGTCCTTTCTAATCCACTGGGGATTTAGAAACCAGGTCATAAAATCGCAGGATTGAAAGGAACCTTCAAAGGCTGTCTGGGGAGGACCAAGAACTCTGTGAAGTAGGAGGGTGAGTCACCTCGCCTTAGGGGACTCTGGAGAGGGGAGGCTGGCGACCACATGTGCTCCTCAACCACGAAAAGGTGGAACTGCTGACAGGAGTGAGGCATGTGTCTAAAATGGGAAAAGCAATGACAGTAACAGGAACGCCCCACTCAACTGGTGAATACTACTAACACCCTGAAAACAATCCTGCCCATGAGACACATGGGTCCAGAGTGGAGAAGGCAGTTCATGGCAACGGGGGTGCATCCAGTAGACTGGATTAAAAGGGTCTCGCCCTTCCAGCAGAGGATGTGGACTGGTGGTATTTCCGGATTCTAATCTTGGTCATGAGTTTTTTAAAAACTCTAAATACAGGGCTTGAGTCACACAGGGAACCTGTCACAAACCAGAGACACTATGGGGCCCCAGATGCACCAGACACACAGATGTACCCCAAGACTGAAGGGGAAAGGTAGGACAAACTGATCAAGAGTATTCCATTTAAAAGCATCACCAAAAAATTCTAGTTTGCAAGTTTTAAAGATTAAAGTAAGAAAATGTCTCCAAAGTGTCACAGTAGCACATTCACAACTTGGCAAGCGCTCCTTGAGATTCCAAGTGTCTGGCCAGTCTGGGAGCAAAATGGGGCAGGGCACTCTAGGCTAAGGTGCCCCAACAGGTATCCAATGACACTTGCCTCTGGTCTCCTGCATCCACCCTCCGCCCTCCCACTCTTGCTTGCTGACTATCCACCTGGCATGGTCTCTCACTCAAGGTTGTCCCGGGCTCCAATGTCACTTCTTAAATCCAGACACCCACCCCCTTATCAAGCCAGGTTCTGGGCAAGTCTCCAGTGCCCAGTGACAGCCACATTACAAGTCTGCAAAATGCAGTTCCGTCCATGTCAGCTCACACCGACTCTCCAGCACAGAGCTGTGATGAGCCAATCCCCACTGTGTACCTAGTGTCAGTCTCTTCTGAGACCACTCACACACCCTTCAGAAGCCAAGTCCAGCCAGACCCTATACTGAAAGGAGTCTCAACATAAGGGAACCTACTCCTGTGTCTGAGGGAGACCCTGGAGCAAAGCCTCTCATGTTCCTCAGGCGAGCAGAGACTCTCAGGCAGCCAGGTAAGGCAGAAGGCAGACCTCCAGAAAACTCCAGACTGGTTTGACGGGCGATACCGGGTACCTAGCCTCCAGATTCCAAATGGCAGTTTGTCAGAGCTCCTAACGAATGGTTCACAACTAGAGACACATTTAACATTTAGGGTTCTGGTATCATCTAAACAACTCAAAAACTTGTTTTTGAAAAATGCGTTCTAAGCAAGCATTTGATGACTCACATGTAAATGCAGACCCTGTCCCCACCTGAAATTCTGGGTGAGATTTTCTTAAAAGTCTGTCTCATTCTCCTTCTGTGCTCCCAATGCAGTGAGATGCAGCCCAAGGGTCCACCTGCCTCGGGTTCAACAAAGCAGCACCTAAGAAGCTGCCCCTACAGCTCCATGTCCACCCCGCACTGCTATGTCCTGCTAGCGGCTCTGCCTTCACAGACAACACCCATGAGCGTTTAATCCTGTGCCATGTGGATCTTCCAGCAACCCCAAGACAGCCGCAGGCTGAGTGTGCTCTCCACCCAGCAACTCCACTTGCTATCTGAAGGCCTAGTTACCAAAGAACAGAGGCTAAATATCTGGTATCTCAGATTCTCATTGGATCTAACAATACTGCTCAAATCAGGATTGAAAGGAACCTCAGGTATTACTCTAATCCAATTTCTTAATACCACCAGAGAAAGGAAATTCGTGGACTTCTCAGGGCCCGGATCACCCCTGCATGGCTGTAAACGTTCCACCTCGTTATGACAAAATCTACAACTTCTTTCCCCTTTCTGGCCATGGAGAACAAGTCCACTCTCCTCCAAGGCTCCTTCTGGTAGGTGAGCCCTGTCTCCTGTCTCCTTCAGTCCCTCCCACATGGCCCCAGTCCCTTTGTGATTCTGCCTCTCTCCACTACTTTTCCCATAGGAAGCTCGGATCAATCACTGTCCAGGTCCACCAAATGCAAACTTCAAACTATCCTGAACCTGGACTTAATTTTGTTTCCCAGAGTGTAAAGGTTCACAGCAAAAAAGGTCACATCTCAGAATTTAACTTTCAGCAAACAGAACTAGAACTAAATGAAGAAGGGCAGGAAGCAAGACCCCTTTCCGCCCTAATACGTGTAGAGCAAAACGTGGAGTCATGACAGAGCTGTGTGTTACGTGGAAAACCTGGTGCTTACAAGTTTAGCACAAGTTTAACAGGTTTCTGACAGCAACAGAAAAGGCTTCACATGAAGGGTTCTACTTTTTTGCTTTTAAACGAGGAAGTAATTTAGTTGATTCCCTTGTGATAAGTTTTGCCAACTACATAGTCAATGGGCAACAGTCTTCAAAAATAATTATCAGTAATACTCCAGGAAGAATTTCATTTCAGCCTCAGTTAATGAGACCCGCAAATGCTTTAAAGCACCAGACAGGACCGGGTATGGAGGGCATCAAAAAACCTCCGGCTAAAATCCAGACTTCTCTTCCAAAAGTAAAATTGCTCAAGACCACAAACCAAAGTTCAGAATGGGAAAATAAAATCCTGATCCACGCAAAGATCACAAGATCGAAATCTAGGAGAGGCCACAGGCGACTGGCGAGCAGAAGGCAGGCTCCGCACTTCTCACCAAGTTCTGGACGTCGGCACCCATCCTGCATGGAGGAACTTTCGCAGATGCCACCTCAGCACGGCCCTCCCACAGGCCACGAGGGCCCGCGGGCGGGGACAGGCTTAAAGGGACAGCAACCCCCTCGGCCTCCCAGCCTTTCATCCAAATTCGGTATTTTTCCGTAATGTATTTTTCATCCACGACCCTGGGGCATGTCCAAGTTGCACTCCAGGCCCAAGGAGAGCAGCTTTCTCCACCCCCGAACACGTAGACGGGCGCGGGCCCCGCGCGGCAGGTGAAGGTGCTGCGAGGACCCCGCCGCCCGGCCTGCGCCCAGACCCCCGCCCCGCCGCCACCTGGGGGGAAGGACCCCGCTGGCCTCCCAGGGCCCGCCACCCCGGCTGCACACGCAGCCTCCGCCGGCCGGAGCAGCCCGAGCTGGGGGAGGGGGCGCCCCCGCGGGGAGGGGGGAGGGGAGGGCCGGCCCCGCCAACGTCAGCGACCTGGGCGCAGGTCGGCCGCCCCTCCCCCGCTGTGCGGCCCCGGCCCCGGGGGCGCCCCACCGAAGCCCAGGGAGGAGGCGGGGGAGCCCAGCTTGCGGCCAAGAACGGCCCAGCGGCGCCACGGGACTTGGGAAAGTTTGTGCGCGCTCCTCCGCGCCACGGCCACGCGCAGAGGAGACTCAGAGCCGGCCCCGGGCCCGGCCCGGAACCGCCACGCGCGGTAAGCAGGACACTCGCGGCGGGGGCCTCAGCCTGGGGCTCGGGTGGGGGCCGCGGCACCCGGGCCCCTCCCCCTCCGCGGCCTCCACGTCGGCGGCCCCCTGAGCCCGCCCACCCCGCCGGCCCGGTCCTCCCCAGCCCCGTGCCGCGCGCTCACTCGTGGGCCCCCGCCCGCCGGTCCTGCCGCTCGCTTGCTCGCCCGCCGCGCGGGAGAAGCCGGGACGCTCCGAGGCGCGGCGCCCGGGCCCCGGCTGCTATATAGGGCGGCGGCCCAATCCCGCCTGGACACGTCAGCGCCCCGCCCGCCCCGCCGCCGGGGTCCCCGCCGCCCCGGGCCGCCCAGCACCCGGGAGGCCCACCCAACTCCAGGCGTGGTTCTGCATCCTTTTTTCGGGTGGGGAAGGTGGTGCCGAGGAGTTGGGAAATTAATCACCTCCAGAAAGCAGAGGGAGCGCGCCCCGCAAGAACTCGAGCGGAAACAACCGAAGACCAGAAAGGGAGCAGGAAGGACGGCTGCTCTGGAAGCAGATGTCACCAGTACCGCCCACCTCCCCAAAATCACAGAAGGAAAACCTCAAAGGATGCCCACCACCATCGTAAACGGATGCCCCCCCCCCAGCACGAGGTCCTACAGCGCAGTGAAGCTCCCAGACGGCTCCGGACTTTCATTCCCTCATTCCCACGTGTCTGTTCCTTATGTCCCTCACTTTTATAAACCATCTCCACCCGATTCCTTGCCAATCAACTTAATCTCCCCCCAAAATATAAAACCCCCTTCCTTTAAAGCGTGCATTATTTATGGCTCCATCTCTACATAGGTGCATACACGCAAAAGAACTGGTGTGTGGCCTCTGAGCCCACGGTGGACACGGAGGACTGGGCGGAACGGAATCCCTACTCTCAAGGGGTCTCCACCCTCCGGGAAGGACTTGTCACTTCTGCATCCATTGTGTTTACTAAGTGATAACTGCCACTGTTTCTTTTAAAAGGTTTAAGGGGAGTGGAGCAATCTGTAGAGATGTCCGTCTGAACCTCTGGAGCAAAGTCGCAGGTGAGCAGAATGCTGCACAGGGCACAGGATCAGCTACAGGTATCTGGGGACAAGACCGTCCCACACAGGGCAAGAGGCAGCGGCACACCCAGCCTTACCCAGGGAATGGGGTCAGGTCAACACAGCCTGCAGCCGGGCCATGGGTGCTATTGAGAATGGTGGGAGCTGGGTGGGGGCTGTCAGCAGCAGAAGGCAAGATCAGACGTGTTGTTTTCGTGGAACACTGACACTAAGTGGAGAGTGGCAGGGGAGGGGAGGGGAGGCCTACTATAGTTCAGTCTAAAGATGACAATGGCTTGTATATGTTGGGCATAATGGATGAAATACATGGCCAGATTTGGTATATATTCGGAAAGTAGCACCAAGAAATTCCTTATTAACCAGATGAGGGGTGTGAAAGAAGTTAAGAAAGGCATAGGTTCTTGGCCTGAGCGACTGGGAAGAGCTGCCCTCACGTAGATGGGGAAAATTCAAGGAAGACTGGATGGATAAGGGGGTGTGATGCCCTGACTGGGCAGGTGGGGATGTCCAGCAGGCAACTGTATGTGCAAGGTCAGGGGAGAAGCCCAGGAGCCAGCAGAAACACCAGTGCACTTCATGACACCACCAAGGGAAGGGAGCAGAATCACAGAAGGCAGAGAACATCTGCGGCTTGAGGCAGAGAAGGAGCCAAGGATATCATTAGCAAAGCCGTCCTCTAAGTCAGCAGCATGGAATTGGGCAGGTGGGCCTCCCTGGATGTGGAAATAGGCATTCCCTCTGTGTCATTGCTGTGGTTTGTTGGTAACCTTTCCGTGGGGATTAACCAATCAGCAACTAGTGCAAGTGTGTTTTTTGCTGCTGTTTTGTTTTTGAGGGCTCAGCACTGCAGAGGGAGATGGAGAGAGTAAGGGGTAGGGATTCAGTCCACTGTCAAGGAACTTCCAATAAAGCTAGGAAGTCAGCACAGGTACAGTACCTAGTACACAGGACACCGTAAAGAGTTAGTTTTTAAAACATTGTTAGCAGAAGATACTATAAAATCAAATGTTAACTTTGTGCTAATAACCGTCCAGAATGCTTCCCTGATGCTCACAACCAGCATTTCCTCCCAGCAGGCTTAGCACATTGAAACTAATAAATTGTTCGTAGAAGCAAATTTTAGAAATTCCAAGGCTAGCAATATTCAGACCAAATGAAGTGTGAACATCTGTCTGTGACATCTGAGTTTTCATCCCTCAAAGGGAATTAGTTTGGGTCTGCTCAAGGTAGGAGGTGAGAAGAGACACCCTCCTATTCCATAAAATCATGATCCCCAAAAGGGCTACACCCTCAGCAGAAGATAGGTAGATCAAAAAAAGAAGAAGAAAAGCCCACTAGTGTCAAGGGGACTATAGGATGCTTTCTCTGACTATCCTGAGCTGGCAGGTAGAAGCATCTCTTGAGCTGTAGGGACAATGGACTAGTACTCTACAACCAACCCCATTTGTCCAGGAACCCCTAGCCCAAACTGAGATATTAAAACAGAAAGCAATCCCCCTCAGGAAAGAATAAACCTCACACCAGGCTAAAAAGGATACCCACAGATCAACCCAAATGGTAGAGAGGCTAAAAGCCCAAAGCTCAGAAGGATGGATGGATTAGAAGTAGGATTAGACTCAAGAACTTCAGGAGACAGAACTATAAGATTGAGACTATAAAAAAGCATGAGAGACATAAAGGGGGCATTTTAGAAAAAAATCAAGAGATGGAACGAATGAAAGAGCTAAGAACCATGGAATGAAAAACTCTAACATATAACTGCAGTTCCAAAAAAGAAAAAAAGAAAAAAAAATCCAAAGAACAGAGAAGAAACATTTTTTAAAATAGTTGAGAAAATTCTAAGATTTAATGATACAACATTCTTCCCTCATCCCAAAAAAGACAGAGAAGCTGTCTGGCAGGATAATTTAAACTGATCCAAATCAAAACACACTACAGTGTAACCTCAGAGCACCACAGACACGAGCAGACCTTAAAAGCAACTAGAGAGAAAAGACAGGTTACTTATAAAGAATACTGTGAGACCAAGGGCAGACCGCTTAATACATACCAGAGGATAATGGCTATATAAAAATTATGATGAAAGAAATAACTGTCAATTTGGAATTATTTAAGAATTCTTTTTCATTTAAGAATGAGAATAAAATAGACATATTCAAAGATAAAGCAATTACTACCAATAGATCCGGGCTGACAGACCTACTGAAGGACATATTTCAGCAAGAAAATGAAAGCCAAAGAGACCAGAAAGAAGGAATACTGATAAACCAGCAACCTAGACAAAGTGAAACAAGCATTGACCCTATACTGACATCAACAATAAAATTTGTAGGGAATTAAATTATAGATAGGTACATAAGCAGGATATGCAAGTACAAAATAAAATAAAATAATTAAAATGCTTAGGCAGCAATAATATATAAGGTGGAAGGGGGATATGAAGTTGCAAGGTTTCAAGATTCTTACTATTTGGGGGAGAAGCTAGCCCTTGTTGAGAATGAATGTAAAAATTTAAAGACAATCTAGGAAAAAAAGAGAGTTTTTAACGTTCAAACTAAACTCTTATTCAAATGGAAGTTATTGGCAATGTTCTAGATCTTGGATTAGGTGGTAGGTTCAGCGGTATTATGATGATGTACATTATTACTGGTGACATTATACTGTATTAATAATTATTAAAAGAGAGAAAACCAGAAAAAAGAATAGGAGGCAAGAGAAGTAAAAGAAACAATGAAAAAGCAAGGTAAAGAACAAAAGTGATGAGAGGAATGAATTCAAACCCATCAGTAATCTAAGCAAGTGTTAACAGACTAAACTGACCAACTCTAAGAGCAGCTACAAGCCATTCAACAGTCCTAAACCATACAGACATACAGGCTGAAATAAAGAGATGGAAGAAGTACTCCAAGCAAATACTAACCATATGAAAGTTGGTTATGTTATTTTCATATAACACAGACTGTAGCATAAAAGTCATTATTAAGAATAGAGAAGGTCAATAATTTAAAAATTCAGTAACTGATTACATGTATCTAATAACATAGCTGCAAAACATATAAAGTAAAAACTAAAGGTTACTAGGAGAAATTGATATATCCAAGGTTAAAGGGTGAGACTGACCCAACTCTCTTGGTAACACAGGTTGTGGGATTGGAAAATGTATACAGGATGCAAACAACACAATTAATCTACTTTATTGAACATATGATTAAAAGTGACACTTTTTAAAAAAACCATAAAACCTGGCCAGGAGCTAAAAAAAAATTAAACAAATAGTAAAGATTTAAATCATAATAACATTCTCAGACCACCACTCAATTAGAACTCAACTTAAAAATTTAAAGAGTATGTAAGTTTTAAAACTTGCTTCTAAGTAACTCATGGAACAAGGAAGAAATCTGAAAACATTTAAAACTAAGCCATTAAGCAATTACACATCCCACCTTGTGGAATGAAACAAGAGTGTTGCTGAAAGTCCTGTAACTTTAAGCCATCCTATCAGCGAGGAGGAAAAAATAAAATAAGCTAATCATCCACTACTGAAACTAGAAAAAAACACCAGAATAAACAAAAGAAAGGTAGAAGGAAATAAAGATAGGAAATTAATGAACTAAAAGACATATATCACAAAGGATAAACAAAACCTACATCCAAGTTTTTTAAAAGACAAGTTCAATCTCTGGCAAAAATGATTCCTGAAAAAAGAAGAGTATAAATAGACAATATTAAGAATTAAAAGGGGGTCAAAAACTACAGCTAAAATGGAGACTTGGAAAAATCCATGTAAGAATTCTATTGAGAAGAGTAGTGTCAAAAACTCGAAAACAGATGAAATGGGCAAATTCTAGAAAAATAAGTTACCCAAACTGAGTTAGAAATATAGTTTCAATAACCAACCTTCCCCAATCTCCAAAGAAACAAATATAAAAATCACAACAAGGCTGGGCGAGGTGGCTCACGCCTGTAATCCCAGCACTTTGCAAAGGAGGCAGAGGCAGGCAGGTCACCTGAGGTTGGGAGTTCGAGACCAGCCTGACCAACGTGATGAAACCCCATCTTTACTAAAAATGCAAAATTAGTCAGGCGTGGTGGTGGGCGCCTGTAATCCCAGCTACTCAGGAGGCCGAGGCAGGAGAATCGCTTGAACCTGGGAGGTGGAGGTTGCGGTGAGCCGAGATCGCGCCATTGCACTCCAGTCTGGGAAACAAGAGGGAAACTCCATCTCAAAACAACAACAACAACAACAAAAATACACAAAAAGGCAGGCCTCCAAATGCTTTTGTAAGGAAGCTTTGAGAGATTACCTCCCACACAAAGCTAGGGGGCTTGGACTTATCACAGACAAAGGAGTGGTTGAATCTCACCTAGGTACTTAAAAGCCAAAGCCTGAACCAATCTTGCAAACTGATCCAGAAATAGAAAAACAAATATATCACGATAAAGTTTAATCCAGTAATGTGGGGTGGTACAATATTAGAAAAACAGATTAAAGTAACTTGCCACATTAACAGCATGAGGGGCAAAGATAATGTGATCATTTCAAAAGATTCAAATGGGCTGGACATGGTGGCTTGTGCCTGTAATCCCAGCACTTTGGGAGGCCGAGGCAGGCAGATACCTGAGGTTAAGAGTTCGAGACCAGCCTGGCCAACATGGCGAAATCCCGTCTCTACCAAACATACAAACATTAGCCAGGCGTGGTGGCACATGCCTGTATTCCCAGCTACTTGGGAGGCTGAGGCAGGAGGATCACTTGAACCCAGGAGGTGGAGGTTGCAGTGAAACAAGATAATGCCACTGCACTCCAGCCTGGGCAACAGAGCAAGACTCCATCTCAAAAAAAAAAAAGAAAAGAAAAAAAAAAAGATTCAAATGAAGAACCTCAACTAATTAACCCATTCCTAATAGCAACTAGGAATATAAGCCAGGGCAGTATGGGAAGAAAAAGAAAGTTATCAGAATTGAAAATGAACCCAAAC